GTGTGTGTGTGTGTTTGCCTCAGGTAGTGCCCACACACACTCTCCCTCTCTCCTGAGGTTTTACAGACTCCAGCTACCTGCTCACCTACTCACCTCTGACTTCCCCCTGAACAGCTCTCGTCTCTTTCTCGACCTCAAGTTGTACCCAGAGGTTTCTCCTCTGCAGTGAAGTGCTGCTTTTCACAGCTTATTGATAAAACTATAATACAATCCACACTCTAATACACACCATGATGTAAAATAACGCACATGGACTTCAGGCAGCATGGTCTGTATTTATGCTCTGGTAAATACTCGCTGTTGAATGTGTGACGTTATATCTACAGTGTGTATTTTCTGTTAAATTAAAAGGTCACTTATGAGATAATAATGAAAACAAGATACGTTGAAGTAGAATTAATAAATCTGAATATTAATTAATACTTCTGGAAAAGCTTTTTTTTATTTTGTTATCCGTCTTTACTTCATTAGAAAAGTAACAACTTATAAAAGTGTAAAAGGTTGATTTGACTTTTCTGGTGTAATTTAAAAACTGTTTTTCTTAGTCCAATGAATTAACCAACTTTTATTTGTTGCAATAAATGAATTAGGCTACTTACTTATACATACAAAAAATTACAGTATGTCTGTTTTAACTGGAAATGTATTGTGTGATCCCCTCTCTCTCACATTAGGGCCAAACGCAGAGACAACATTTATTTTACTGATGTTTTTATGGGATTGTAATGTTCAGTCGAGCTGTTGCAGTTATTTTGTCAAACACCTTAAGGTGCTAAATGTTTTTCATTTTCACCCGTGAGCCCAAACGGGAAAAAGCAGTAAAGATAATGGATGGTATGGATGGATGAAAATATTTTTTTTTTGGTTTTGTTGTTTGCTTAGAAACAGTAACTGGGACTGCTCGGTAGTTTTCAGTCCATCTTGTGATCAACAGCTGATACAGACGAGGATTTCTCTCTCTCTCTCTCTCTCTCTCTCACACACACACACACACACACACACACACACACACACACACACACACACATACACACACACACTCACATGCACACAAACAGAAAGTATCGCTCACTTGCATCAAACATTAACCAGCACCAGCAGGCTGTAGAGTCATCAATAAAATGTTGTTAGGTATTTTCCTGCTAACCTGCATAAACATTCACCTTCTCTAAAATGACTCATTGATCTGCAGAAAAGGAAAAAAAAAAAAAAAAAAAAAAAAAAAAAAACTTTCCACCAGGGAGGATCATTTCAAAACTTCTCACAGACATGCTTCACTGAGTGCACTCGGGTTACATACTGGGAAACTGTAATTCAGGTGTTTAGATCCAAACCTCTACTGCAGGGCTCATCAACTACATGTATAGAAGGGCAAGCGTTTATCCTGACAGACACTGTGGGGGGGCGGGACTTAAAATAGTCTCTCGCATAAGCCTGACAGCTGTCAAGCCCGATGTGAAGAAGTTGTTGTCAGAAGGAGAATGTCATTTCTCCCATTAACCTAACGTGAATATTTCAGCCTTGTGATTGTAGTTTTAAATGTATAGGTTAATCAAATGAGATCATTTATATTCTGGGGGCTGGAAGGGAAACTTTGGGAAGCCAGTTGATGATCACGGCTCTACTGTATATTTGGTGCTGATGTGCATGCCAATATTAGGACACAAAAAATTTTTTGTATTAAAATGTCAATCACACTGTTTTTCTGCTATGTCGGAAAGTATTGGTCTTTTGTACATTTTTGTACGGTTTAAAATCTTAACCCTTTATGAGTTGGCTGTTACATCACTTATCATGTGTTGAGTTTGTGATTTCTTTTCCTCTTTGTAAATGTTGAGTTACTTAATCTTGGGATCTGTGCTGCTTTCCACAAAGTCAACTACAGTATACACTGGCATGTTTTTCTGCATTATGGCAGCTTGTAAACCAGGGTATCAGTTTTAAGTGAAACTGAAGCATCAAGTGAAATTCAGGTTGAATGAGCAAGGAAATCTCCGTCTGATGTTTCCTTTTGTCATTTTTAATGCTTTAAAACACCTGGTCCTGCTAGTTTCTAGTTTGCCTGACTGTAAATCTACCTCTGCATCTGTCTCATGTTTAATGTTTGGTCGAGTGAATCCATTCAAACAAGATTTAAGTCCCTAAACTCCCACTGAAAGAAATAACAACATTTTCTTTTTTTGGCCTTGCTTAATATTTAAGTAGCTGAAATCTATTTAACTCTAGAAACTGATAAACGGAGAATACATGGGATGGATGGATGAGAAAACCTGTGCATGAGTGTTTGTGTGTCTCTGTATGTGTGTGTGTGTGTGCGTGAGTGGCATCCTGTGTGGTTTTAACAGCTCAGTGTAGAATCAACACCCTCGCTCTGCGCTGAACAGACGAAAACAAACACACATAAACACACACAGACACTCACACACTCACACAGAGACAGACTGGGTGGCAAAAAGAACGACCCGACGATGGGGGTCTGTTTAATGGGGATGTGACAGTTGTAAAAACAGCTTCTCACGTCGGCATGGTTAGCAGACATGCTAATGAGCTAGCGTGAGGTGAGAGTTTCTCAGACTTGCTCCACTGATGGCGCACATTTCCATGTTTATTCGTTTACAGGCCGAGGTTGAGTTAAGTGGTGGTAATTGGCAGCAGCTTTGGAGGCTTTGGGGTTTGAAAGAAATTACATAAAGTGCAGTAAAAAGTGGGCTCTCTTACTCTCGCAACAGCTGCTAACTAAACTCTATGGACCTGTGTGTGTGTGTTTGTGTGTGTGTGTGTGTGTGTGTGTGTGTGTGTGTGTGTGTGTGTGTGTGTGTGTGTGTGTGTGTGTGTGTGTGTGCTTGTTTTGACAGTCATACAACACACAAAGCAGACATTTGCATAATGACTGCAGTCACACCTGCCCTTAGCACTGCTTGAGTGCTTCAGATTTTTGCTTTAAAGCTGACAATCCTTCTGAGATTTTACGCAGTGATCCAAAAATACCCGCTCACAAACCGCAGCATCTGAACTCATCCAAGCAAAATATGTTTTTGACAGCCTGTATTCAGTAAACAACATCACATATTGCTTGAACGCACACAATGAGAATGTTTCCCTTTTGACTGACACATATCTATGAGGGGGAAAAAAAACAGGGTACAACCGCTAACATACATATATGTTTGAACCATTTCAGTCCCCTCATAAGTGTCCTACAATCTCCTGTCATTGAGAAAAGCCGCTCTCTGCAGATGAATGAGACAAAGACAACACCCAGACCACTGAGACCAAAGAGAGCAAAACTCTCAATTACAGGCGAGCAGGGGATGTAATCAGCTCTAATGGGAAAGGCCTAATTCATAGTGTGGGACAAAGCACAACACACGGAGTAAAGGGAGCATTTTTTTTTTTTTGAATTTGTGGGATTTTTGACAGTGGAAATCAGGCAGAGAGAGAGAGTGGGGAATGATGAACCTGGGCCATCCGCTTCGAGGACTACAGCCTCTGCACATGGGGCAAGCAAACTAACAAGTTGGCCACCGGCCCCCGAGATGAGCCTTTTTCAATTGTGAGCTGTATATGTAGATGGAGGAAAAAAAGACAAACATCGCTGGTAAAACACATAATTTCATCAGTTTCTGTTGATTTTATAGCCACATGTTTTCATATAAAGCTTTTAAACCTACAGTGGGAACTTCTTAAATGTTTTCATATTAATAAATTTACTACAAAAACAAATGAGACCATGAGGGATTAAGATTATTATTATTTTTTTAATGTATATATTTATTTTGAACATCTGAAACTGCTGCCACCAGGTCAGTGTGAGATGAAATATTTAGCATGCCAGGTGCCTTTGTTTACATTAGGATCAATGTTGGAGCCTTTTTGCCTTTATTGATTGAGGACAGATGAGGAGAGAGGAAATGTAGGTGGGAGGAGTCAGCTCTGCAGAGGACCAGACTCTGTGTATGAGGCGCCTGCTCTACTGGCTGAACTAAACCGGTGCCCCTGTTAACACTAACTTTTTAACAGATTCAAATCCTGGCTCAAGCCCTTTGATGCATGTCTAAAAATTCCTTAACCTCCACAGGCCAAAAAAAGAGCCGGACTAAATTGACCTTGATACTAAATAGATCCTGACTGATGTCATCATCCAAAATCCAAAATCCCCCAAAAAACATGAAGGGAGAGCAGCATAAAATAAAAATATGAAAGAAGAGCACCATGAAATAGAAAAGAAGAATGAAGAGCACCATACAATACAGAAGAAGGCACTAGAAACTATTCTGAACGTCTGGTCGTCCTCATAAGTATAGTAATGTAGGTCCATGTGGGTATGTTTGTTTGTAATGAAGGAGTGGATCAGCTGTGCTCTCTCTCTCTCTCTCTCTCTCTCTCTCTCTCTCTCTCTCTCTCTCAGGCTTCATCAGTCTGGCTGGTGGCCAGAAATAGCCCCCTCAGCTGGCACATTGGCCCAATTTACGACCCTTCACATTCAGCTGAGGGCAGCCCTGCCCCGAGCGCTGCCGGCTCACTTCCCACAGAGGACACAAAACGGTGAAAACACTGAAATCCCACCAGCCGTGTTACAAAGACAATCCCACAAATGTCACAGCAAGACACAACAACATCGTAACCGACTGTAAACATTGTCTTCGTCATCAGCGCTGATGCCCCCCTTGCCTGATTTCCCTCCTGGAGTTCAGAGGAATGCCGACTCTTTTTTCAAGTGTAATAAGATGAGGCTAAAGTGGCCCCAAAAACCAAAGCCAGAGATGCTTTCAACTGCCAGAAGCCTGAGCCAGAGGTTTATCGGACAGTAGCCCGCAAGGAGACCACTAAAGTAAAAATAAATGGACTAACTTTTCACCAGTGACTTCTGCAAGCAGCTCCCACAGAGGGCCACATGAGACGCTGCCGTGGGACAGCAAAGAGGCGTGGTGCCTCACACACAAACACAGAGAGGTGAATTTCACAAGGTTCTGCCAAAACAAACTTAGAAGGTCACTCACCATCTGAGAACGGCTCTTTGGACAGCCATTGATGTCGTCAATCTTCTCATTGGCTGAGGAGAGGCGGAAAGAGGAGGAAGAGACAGAGAGAGAAAAGAAGAGATGAGAGATGAAAACTCTTTTCAGCTGCTAAACGTAATCCTCTCTTTCATTTCCAGTGGGTATCCCGTGTGTGTGTGTGTGTGTGTGTGTTCACAGACAGTTGCTGTCTGACTGAGGAGAGCAGAGGTGTTCACGCCGGTGACCGCAGCCCCCGTCACTCCCCTCCCACTGAGACATGAAACACTATCTGGTCACAGCAAATGGGAACAGGGCCACTGGGGGCCTGACAGAGGTGTGTGCTGGGCTGCTTCTTTTAAAAGAGGTGTGTGTGTGTGTGTGTGTGTGTGTGTGTGTGTGTGTGTGTGTGTGTGTGTGTGTGTGTGTGTGTGTGTGTGTGTGAATGGGGCGTGTGTGTGCTGCCAAGGATTCCTCCCATCTATTAGAGGCCGGGCCCGCAGCAGCTGAGACACGGCCATCAGCTCACAGCTGACAACTGTGCCAACAGCATGGCCCTCCTGCATCAGGAGGCCTGCTGAGGCCCACGGTGCAGCTCCACGACAGGACCTTATTCTGAACCACCTACACTGCGAGAAAATACTCCTTTACCCGTCCAGTAAATCAATAAGCAAAGTCTTTTTATAACTCAAAACCTGCTTATTTTCCAAAGCGTGTGAATAATGACTCTGCTTGTGTACATGTGATTTGTTTTTAGGTCTGCAGCTATGTTTGTCTACGTTTATATGATTTCTTTATGCTTTTGGGTGTTTCGCTGCTATATGTCCCAATGTTGTGAAGTTGTTTACATGCTTTACTATTTGATTTTTTTATTCAATGTCTATGATTGTGAAAGCCATGTTAATTTCTGTATTTCTATGTTTTTACTTTCATTATAAGCACATTGAGTTTATCTATAATAAACTGCTTTATAAATAAAATTGCTATTCTAATGTACTTTCTGGAAAAACACATCCAAACACTCGTACAATAACTCAATTTAAACATCACAGCAGCAGCCAGTTCTTCCCAGACTTCATGTTGTGACCCCTATAAAAAAAAGCTGTGACAACCTTTGACCTCTCACCCCTGTGTTCTCTTAAAGGACTCAACAGTGTGGCTCCAGAAGTAAAACTCTAATTCATTTTCTCCAGAGCAGATTTGATTATTAGCAAGAAGAAGAACTACACTACCCACGATCACAGTGTCACAGCAACATCTCTGATCGGTTGAGCTTCCTATTACCATGGCAATGTTTCCCGCCCTTCTGTGCCGTAGGCAAACTAATAGTTTCCCTAGCAGGCTAGCTAGTTAGTTAAATGTATAATAACCTTGACATGCAGCAGTGAATGTAGTTTATATATTCACACAACACAGACTACAAGATAGTAAAACACTTATATTAACAATATAAACCCTATAACAATGACTAAAGTTACATTGAGGAAGAAGTGTGATTGCCATTTGCAATGGATTGTGGGATATGCAGTTCATGTCTCCGGACGGAAATTATGCACAAAGTCTTGCACCTTTTGCTTTTTTGCCGTTTTGGCACCAAATAAAATGTACTATAGTCAGGAGTATTGGGGTAGCTGGTTGTCTTGGTTCCAGGCGGGTTTTGTGAAACATCAATGGAGGATTTAAATCAGAAAATGTACTTCTGGAAACCAGAGCGGTCCAAAAAGTGATTGCTGACTGTTGAGCTCTGCAGTATATGTTCTCTTTCCAGTCCTTTAACCAAAAGTGATTTTCATTTCTGAATGAAAAGATGAGTGAAATCAAGTGTCTTTAAGAAGGAAGTCCCAGTCAATTCACGACATGGATAAAGTAGGAAATGTGGTGAGATTCATGCCAAACTTAATTAAAGAAAACATCCCTATGATGGGGTCATAAGGGAAAACATGTCACACATACTTCCATACAGTAATTATAGAAATAGCCTGAAGCAATGTGTGGACTCGTTAAGATGATTGATGACTTTACACCACTACTGTAGACTTTGGTTTGTGTGCTTCCTGAAAATTGGACGCTGTGGTGACACCCAAGAGAGACTGTAATTTTAAGTTACACATTTTAAGTGCAAACTAAATAAGTGTTTCCAAATTTAAAAATAATTCTGCTTTGATTTGTAAAGTGAGAGTGAGAGACGGTAAACAAACCAGAAGTCAGAGTGTTAAAAAAAAACTATTCTTAGGGAAGACAAACATGTACAAAGACTGGGAGATCAGACAATAATGCACGTTCATCATGACTTTACTGATGACCTTAATCTGGTTGTTTCCGTCTCTAAATATACCGACTGTGAGTGAGAGTGGGTCAAATAGCTAAACCGGTGTGGCTGCTCCGACACCGGCCAGGCCGATCCAGTTTCACGAAGGGATTGAGTGCTGTGACGTTCTCCCAGTGGACAGGAGGCCGAAAAGGCGAGGGAGAACAGGTGAATGTGTGGCTCTGGTTGGTGTTGTTTAAGTGTGAGAGTGGAAGGGGAAGTTGTCAGCTGTCAGATCTGATATTGTCAGGGTGTAGCACTGGCTGAATGGATGATTTTTTTTGTTCCTCTTGTTCAGGAGCAGGAATGCAGACACCTCTTTAAGCGAACTTAGAATCTCCACCTGCGTTTTGACTAAGGTCAAACGTTCATTTATTATTGCTCAAATTTCCTGTGTGATTATAATAAATGATGAATGTTTTTTTAAATCTCAAACGTCCTGTTAATTGTCGGCTACACCACAGTACCTACCCTATCCTTACAAATACAAACAAGATGTTTTCTATATATCCTCTAAAATGTTATAGGGTGCTGTTTCCTGAAAAACACAGAGAAGTCTTGAGGATGCATTTTGAACTTTTGGGCGTTTGCTGATTTTTCCAGCCAATTAAAGTCCTCATGAAATGTTCCTTCGAGAGTATCTTACTGCTGTGTTGTGATGTATTTCCAACGGAAAAGGTATAGAACCAATCACAAGATAGAAGGCTGGACATAACGCTGGGATGAATTTGATTGGATAGTTAGCTTGGACGCAGCTTTTAAATTGGTCTAAAAATGACTAAACCCCCCTGAGTGCAGGATGAGTCATCAGACATGTTGACCAGGTAGAGCAATTACAGTTATTTTGATGTAGCAATACTCATATCATGCTTTATTAAAATATATATGTTGCAGATAAATGAACATTTAACACAGGAACTCTGGATTAAAACCTGGAAAATGTATTTTTCACTTCATGGGGACTTTAAAAAGTTCATGCAATTTGTTATGTCTCTCTGCCATAAATTAGGCAAGGCAAGTTTATTTCTATAGCACATTTCAACAACAAGGCAATTCAAAGTGCTTCACACAAGCCATCAAAAGCATCATGACAGAGGAAAGAAAAGAAACATTAAAATAAAAATAAAAAATCACTGAAATTAGAAAATCTGAACATATGTTCAAATAATAATAATAAAAAAACTTGCCTGCAGTTTTGCATCTTCAATGTATAGATGATTGTTTTGGATTCAGCAATAATGCCTTTCAAGGAAACACGTAAATTTGTAGAAGCAAATTGTATTGTCTAACTCCCTCACAGAAATACTCATCAAAACAAATAAATAATAACTTTAAGGTACTGAGAAAAAGGTGTATTCCCTGTATATCACTACAACACGCTCAGCTTCTCTGCAGTCCTCCTTCAGATGTGCTGAAGTAACTAATAATGTTTTAATACAGCCCTGGAATAAGTTGGAGAAAGTGTGTAAGGTTATAAGATGAGCAGGCCCTAAAGCATGTGTCTGAATCTTATATGCAGTGTATAAAAATACATATGATGCCTTCTGGTTTTCTATAACTCTGACAAAGGCATCACATGCTGCAGCTACAGGAAGAGAACAGTGAGACTCTTCTGTTTGCAGGATGACGCTGCACACAACATACTGTAGGAAGTTTTAAATGTGGGTCAGAGAGTTGGTGACATGCTGAGTCACCGGTCAGCTGGTGTGGGCCTGTTTCAGCCTCAGGCCTGTCTGCAGAAGAAATGACAGGCCGAGGACAGCCCCGACCAAAAGACGAGACTGATGATGACACAGAGCAGCGTGAGGGTCAAAAACACAGGGCAGCGAACCCGTCACACAGAGATGAATCTGTACGGGCTTTAACTTGGAAAACTGCAAACTTCTCTGTTCAAATGTAGACAATTCTGTAAACACTGAACAGGGCAGTTTACACTTGTTAAATTTGTAGTATAAGACAGCGTGAGGTTTGTTTTGTTTTTATTATTGACACAAATTTCCGGGTAACTTTTCTAATACTTTATTCTAACATTTCATTTAAATAATTGTTTTTAAGAACAGTGTTGTTGCCCCTCAAAAGTCCATCCATCACCTATCCCTCTTTTCCTGATCGGGGTCAAAGGGGGCTGGAGCCGATCCTAGCTGTCATTGGGCGAGAGGTCGGGGTACACTCTGGACTCCCTCAAAAGTCCCTATGATTGACTATGACTGTCTAGTCTTCCTGATTTCTGTATACAATCTCAGTATTCATTTCTCTCCACGTTGTGTCTGTTTGTTGTGTTTTCGTTTGTCTGTTTGTTTTTTTCTGATGTTGCGCTGTTGCCTGCAGCTGTTTTATTATCAACACGTTTAATTCAGTAATGTTTGCCGCCTTGATTTAACATATATTATGTCCCAACTGGAACTTTATGGTTTCATGATGGATTACCAAGAATATATGTCTGATAATTACTTTCTGTAAGATTTGACAACTTATTTAGAAGAAGATATACTTTATTAATCCTGGGAGGGGAAATTCGGCAGTGCTCAGGAAGTGAACTGGAACCTCTCAAGCTACCACACTGAGACCCTCCGGTTCCCAACCAAAGTCCCTACAGACTGAGCTGCCGCTGCCTAATTTACATTAGAAAAAATAAAAAAAATTAGTAAATCTTGCACACTAAGGTGTTAGAAAACACTTGACAAGGGTTCAGAAGGAGTGAAATGTTGTGATTTGTTTCCAATAAAGTGGTGATGCTTAGCAAGAGTAGTGTGCAGGGTTCTTTTTCTTTTCAATGTGACAGCTTGATGTCCTACACACCTCCTTCAGGAGATAGTGGGATGTGCAAACACCTTATTTATAGAAATGAAGTTTAGATCTTCACCACACCCATAATACCAATTACAAGATCTTTGATTCTGAATATTTGTATTCTTGGAGCCAGTGTGTAAAGTTTAGTGTTTTGTCCTAGTTTGTCTAAATGTTCTGCACCCTGTGGAAGACATCAGGTCCAGTGTGCTACAGTGAACCTTTTTGATGAGTCGTACTGACACTGACATCATTACATAAGATAATAGAGTTAAAAGGTTGAGATGTGTTACATCTACTCTTTCCTTGCACACTTAAAGCCTGTTATTCACCGAGGATCCCATCTTTTGACCAAGGTTGTGCCTGTTTGTGTGAAAGAAGGTCAGCCATGTCTTTCCAAAGTGACACTTTGTTTTTCTTTTTGCAGCCACATGATCAAATCTGCCTCCACACTGACTTTGTAACCAAATGTGTGTTTTTCCTTACCTACGACCTGAATGATCTCAGCCAGCAGCACTCCGTCTGTGACGTCTGTTTGCAGGTCCTTGATCAGACGCTTGTGTCCGGACTTGGCAAGGTAGTGGTTGGCCCAGTCCGTGTAGATCTGCGGTCAGACACAAACACAAGCACGGCGTTCAATGAGGAGCCAACAAAACAAAAATACAAAATCCAGTCCATAAAAAAGAAGGGGGGAATCCCCGGTCAGGTCGTCCACGTGTTTCAAACTCCATAAACACTTGAAAACTACAAAAGGTATGAATTGTTGGAGCAAATTTACGACTCTAATAAAATAACAACATGGTTGAATGGGAGCAGAGTAGCCCTCTTTCTTTTGTTGGGGCTGCGATCTGGCATATATCCGCGTGGTATTCAAATTGGGGCCATTGTGCTCAGCCAGGGCATTCATCTCGGAGCGCACGGCGGCTGCTTTCAATGGGCCATGCTGACATCACTCTCTGGGGACAGAAAAGACCCTTCACTGCCTGAGGGGAGGAGGGGAGGGGGGGGTCAGAGCATGCATCTGAATAATCTGAATAGCTTCCTTCATAATTAGTCGCCAAACTCTTTCTCTTTTACTCACTCTCACATCAAGAGAGGAGAGTTTCTATTTCTGGTGAGATGAAGGAAGAAAAAAAAGGCACTCAAAGGTTGAAGGAGTTATTTTTGAGAAACGGATACCTCATGTCTACAGTCTCTAGTTTTGCATCATCTCTGGGCTTTTTCTGCGAACTGCAGCAGCTCTCATGAACAAGTGAGAGTCAGAGCAGTCAGAGCAGCTTTTCTCCCACAGGGACATGAAACATGTGCGAGGGCTCGATTAAATAAAGAGAACTCTCCCTCTCCGTCCCAGTCTGTGTCACACAAACACAAGAACTGAAAAATATAACAAAAGACTGACAATCAGAACGCTTAAGTAAACAGTTTACTGCCAGCTTTCTATATACAGGTTATTAGAAAGTTGTGTCACAAGACTTGAAATTTTCCAAACTACCTTTCTGCCGCAGAAATTTGATCTCCAGGCTGTTTTATGTATGCTGTATCCGGCTTTTTTACATCTTAGCAGGTGCATGCAGAAAGTGCAGGGATGTCAGACAATATTTAGACATTTGAGTTTGAAGATGTTATATTGCCTTTACTGGAAAGAACAGCGAGAGAGGCAGGAAATGTAAGCCAGAGAGAGTGAGACTGATGTGCACTAAAGGGGCTGAGAGTCAGAGGCGGGGGAGTTATTGAGCGAGAACACTGCCTCTGCATATGGAGTGCCTACTTTACTTCATTATTTTTGTATCAATTATATATTTTGTGCGTCTGATGTCTTAATCCCAGCAAAAAAATCATAACCAAGCTTTGCATTTGTGTTTGGCTGTAGAGCCTCGGTGTAAAGAGTTCAAGGCTCAATAAGCCAATGGTTTTAGGTCCTACATGAATAAATAATGGTAAATGGACTTGAGCTTGTATAGCTCTTTTCAAGCTTACTCAAAGCACTTTTACACTGCAGGTCACACCTACATATTCACTCGCTGATGGTAGAGGCTGCTGTGTAAAGTGACCATCAGAAGTAACTAATCCCATTCATACACAACCAAGCCGTGGGAGTATTGAGTGTCTTGCCCAAGGACACATCAGACATGGGGCTGGAGCTGAGGCTCGAACCACTGATCCACAGCCACCTGACGAGGCTGGCTTAACACTGAAGCTTCAGTGTTTAGCCAGCTCTGTAAACCTTTCTGTGTTCTAACCTCTCTCCTTTTTTCAAAAGCATCTCCAATATTGATCCTAGTTTGAGCACGTTTCTGCTCGTGGAGCTTATTAGAAACATGCAGAGGCTTTTTAGGTCGAGTACAATCACTTCTATCTGAGCCAGTTCTCTTGCCCGCTTCCATCGCTGCAACACCTGTTGGTTTGCTGTTTGCCCGGCACACCGTGGGGCAAGGGGCAAAATGGCTGAGCCTTCAAAAATCGCCTACCTTCTCTGGTCGAAATAAATCGAGACCATTCAGGACCAGAATCTAAATTTAGAAGGAGGACATACTGGCTGCTGCGTTGTTGTCAGAGAAGCCAGCACTTCAACATAGCATGTTTCCTTAATGTCTGATGATATGGTAAGGTCGTGTTGCTCCTCATAGTAATTCATCCTTCAAATCACTAAATTAAAATCAGAGGCAAAGTAAAGCTGAAAGTGGAATCTATTCATCTGAATATAACTCAACGCACAACGATGTCAAATTTAGGAGCAACTGTCTAATCACTAACAAACCTCTTGTGCATTAATAAACACTGATCTCAAAGTAACCGCTCGTTCTCAGGTTGCCATTGTACTTTGTCTAAATGTGTAACCTAACCTCTCCCAGTAATCTGGAGTCTATGGTGCATGTAAACTTTCTCAAGAGCTTTTCTCTCAGTACAGTGAAATGTAAGTGCATTTATTATTGCCGAATCAGCGCACAGCATTGTTGTTGTCAAACCTTATCACACGCAGCATGCACGGTGAGGTGTGTGACACGCTGTTGACCCTTTGTTTCATTGTGTTCACACTGTAAACAGACCTGGAGCTTTTCCGCCACGCTACTCATCGGATGAATCACAAGCTCTCTCATGGCGGCTTACAACAGGTGTGAGAACTTCAAAGGCACACACACACACACACACACACACACACACAGGGCATGCACATACACACACTCATCTATACACGTAAGCTCAAATGCATAAGGTTTATGGGAGGACACAACCACACATTAAACACAAAGAGCCTCGGAGCGATGTTTAAACCACACAGGCTGCATACCCAAACACAAATGCACCGTTATGAAGAGTCTCCTGAGTGACACGCAGAGCTAAAAAAGCCTCCGAGCTGCAGGATTAGTCTCCATCCTTTCATTCACACTCTCAGCTGGTTGTGGAGAAACGGAAGTGCAGCGGTAAGGAGCTTTTAGTGTGTGTGTGTGTGTGTGTGTAAGCTCTCTTTGAAGAAGTTTCAGGCAGGTAAATTGAGCGTAATTAAAACAGAGGTGAAGTGGGTAGCTGTCAGGCACAGAGCTGGAAAGCACAGAGGGGGTCACACAGCCTGAGGGGAAGCAGGGGGGGCATGAGGAGCGTGTGAGAAGAAAGGAACAAGGAAGAGGACTACAAGTCTCTACAGGTTTCCTTTAAGTCAGAAAAAAGAAACTTCTCATCAGACTTATTGTGTCTCTGATGTCTTAATCTCAGCCAAAACATCGTAACCAAGCTTTACATTCATAATAATAGATAATAATAGACTTTATTTGGCATGGACATCACAGATACATTGGACGAACCAGATGCATTGTTTAAGTGTTTTAGCAAGCATGCTAGTTCTCAACACCTGGTCCACAGGAGGCTTTAGAAAGGAAAACAATTAAGATAGGGAGAAAAGCGATAAAACAGAGAAAACAATAACGGGAGAATAAATAAATAGAACCATAGAGCAAAGGCAGCGTGATCAAACAATAACCAGTCAGAAGCTCTTCATGTGAGCACTGTTGTTTTGATTTTAGCCATTGTTTGAGTCCTCTGTTAAAAGCTTTACTGTTGCTCTCTAGTTTTCTGCCAGTGGGCAGAGAGCTCCAAAGTGTTGCTCCCATTGCAGAGAAAGAAGACTGGCCAAAGGATGTCTTGTACATTGGGACAAGACAATCACCGCTGATGGAGGCTCGTGTGACTGCCCTACGAGAGCTCTGACGCCTAAAGGCTAATTCAGAGAACAGTGGTGACACATGATTATTTACACATTTAACAAACAGTTTAAGATTACTAAAGTTCATAAAATTGTCAAAGGTGAAAAGGTTGTGCTTTTTTAAAATGCCGCAGTGATGCCATCTCATAGGTGTCTGGTCCATGACTTTTATTGTCTGCTTATATAAAGAAACAATAGGTTTTAATGTAGTTGGAGAAGTTTGGGACCATGATGTGATGCAATATGACAGATGTGAAAAAATCATTGCATGCACGTATAATTTGGCAGTTTGACATGAAATGTCCCTTCTAATAAAAAGAAAACAATTTAGATTTGGTTTGACCTTCTTCACAATGTACTTAACCTGACTGTCACATTTTAAATTCTCATCCATGATGATGCCTCGATACTTAACTTCTTTTTACTACTTCAATTGCTTCATTCTTAATCGTACCTCAAATACTTCGTTTCCAGATCTATAACATATGGAGAAGCACATGGCAACAGTTTTCTTAACATTAATAGTTAAATGAGACAACTCGAGCCATTTGGAAACATTACATAATGCCTCTGTTAAGTGCTCACCTGCTAAGCTAGCTGTTTTAGTGGACACATGGATAACGGTATCATCTGCATACATCTGGCAGTTGGTGCCTGGACAGCAGTTTGGTAGGTCATTGATGTACATTGAGAACAACAGTGGACCAAGTACAGACCCTTGTGGTACTCCCATACTGTTGGCATGCAGATGAGACTTCACCCCATTGACCCTAACACATTGCTGTCTCCGCCCCAGGTAAGATTTAAACCACTGCAGAGCTTCTGATGACATTTGGAATTGCTTTAATTTATTCAGTAAAATAGTGTGATTGACAGTGTCAAAGGCCTTTTTCAGGTCCAAGAACACTGCCCCGACAACATTTCCTTTATTCAGTGGAGCTTTAATATTTTCAAGCAAATAGCAGTTTGCTGTTTCAGTGGAATATTTTTGTCTAAACCCAAACTGCTGTGGATGAAGCAATTGGTTAGACTCTATTGAGATTTGAGTTTGGGTTTAGAGCCTGTGTGGTTCAAGGCCATGTAGGGGTTCAAGGACCCATAAAATATAAAGTGTAAAGAGTTTGGTCCTACACAAACAAGTAAGTGCAACTGATGTGAAAAATCTTTTTTTTAATTCACTTTTTTTGCATGCTAGTTTGTCCCTTTAGGCACACCGTAGTTAAGCCACTGTAGTGTCTCCCTGTAGTCACAGTGATGGAAAAGAATGACACTGCTTCACCTTCAAATGTCTTATTTCACTTAAAAAAAAAAAAAAACTCCAGACTGTTCAGTTGTCAGGTCAAAAGAAATATA